CTGAACGCGAGCGCCGCGTTCGGCCGCGACACGGTGGCGCGGCTGGCGCGCCTGGAGGCCTCGCTGGCGGGCGCTCTCTCTCGCTCTTGCTCTCGCTCTTGCTCTCGCTCTTGCTCGCTCCCTTACCCTCGCTGTAGCTCATGCTCTCCCCCGTGCCCCGCAGAGTCCCTGTCGCTGCCGCGCGTCAAGCCCGTGGACCTGAACGCGAGCGCCGCGTTCGGCCGCGACACGGTGGCGCGGCTGGCGCGCCTGGAGGCCTCGCTGGCGGGCGCCGGCGTGCAGATGCAGCGCGGCACCGCCGTCCACGGCCAGTTCATCGAGTCCATGCCCGAGGCGGCCGCGCTGGAGCAGGGCCGCGAGGCGCTGGCCGCCGTCAAGGCCGCCCTCTACCTGAGCCAGCACCACTGCCAGAAGTAAGAACAACAACTGTTAAGCACCCAAAAAAACGAGGTTCTTGAATCAAGTAAATGTTCTTTGGAACAAGTCAATTTCTTAGACCTGCTTACTCGAAATTCACTTTCTCCAGGGATATTTGATTCAAGAACCTTGTTTTCTGGGTGTGGGACTGCAAGAGGAAAAATACCTATTTGTCGGAGGCACTGCATCTGCATACCCATGAGGAGAGTTTTGTGCTCGAAATGAGTGTGATATTTTTCCCCGCCCAATCAAAGCGAGGGCTTTTAGGCTCATAACTATGCTATTAGAAAAGTTTCATTTTCCTTGCGATGTTTCTTTATCGATGTTACCGCCGAGTAGGTTCATTCAGAAGTACGTCAGCCATTGTTCGTTACGAACCCTGCGCATGCATTTCAGCCTCTCCCAGCTAGATCTTATGGCGCCTTATGGGTAGGCAACATCTTTGCCTGCAGTGCGTGCGTGTACTGCGGGCTTGCCTACCACAAGTCTCGCAGGGGCAGATCCCTCATCAATTTGCCGAGTGACTGAGAAAAACGGACGTACATTCTGGAGGATCCCAGGAGAGTGATCGATCGGAGTGCTTCCCGGATTGTTCGCATTCCAGGGCCAATCTCGGATACAGTCCCCAAAATTCTCGTATTTTGTCTTCAAAAAGGTAATCAAAATACTAAAATTTTGGGGAATATCTGAGATCGGCGCTGGAAATCGAACAATCCGGGCAGCTCTCGCTCACCCTCTATTGGGTGACTCGCCGCGTATGCCGTAAGTCCCGTAGTTAGGCTGTACCGCCGGCGCGCGTGCGTTCAGGTTGCCTATACTCGCTCGGACTGCTGAAGGCATCATGCGAAAAATCGACGAGCAAACGCGTGTGTGGGTCGTGCGGGTGTGCAGTGCAGTCTAACAATCCCTGTACATATGGCTGAAATCAGCCCCGAGCTCAACGGCTGCCTCTGCCCAGGTACGGCGTGGACGAGCACAAGTGCGCGCGCTGGCTGAGCAGCCAGAAGCTGTTCGGCACGACGCTGGGCGCGGCCTGCAGCGCGGCGCGCGCGCCCGCCGGTGGCTACTGCTCCGGCCAGGACAAGTACCGCTCGCTGGACGGCTCCTGCAACCACCTGGAGCAGCCCGCCTGGGCGCAGGGCCAGGCCCTCACCGCCTACCGCCGCCTGCTGTTCCCAGAGTACCAGGACGGTGAGTACGGACTGACTGGGCCCTACCGCGTGGTATAAACAAAGTCTCATTTTCTTTAGGAAAAAATGTAAACTTTGAGGAACCTCCTTGGTTTGAGGAAAACTCCCCAGATTTTGAGGGAGTCTCCCCCAAAAAGCAGGATTTTCCCTTATTTTTTTGAGGATTCCTCAAAATCCGAGGCGAAATCGGGGGTGTTTTCCTCAATTATGGGAGTTCCTCAAAGATTTCGCATTTTCCTCAAAAAATGAGACGTAGTTTTCACCGTGCGCTGGAGCGGGGAGCGCCTGACGGGCCGTGGGTAGGCAACCCACCCGGCACAAGCGCTCGTGGCCGTGTGAGGGCAGCCTACCCCGCGGGCGCGCTGGCGTTCCACTCCCACCCTCCAGCGGCTACAGCTTTAGTGCCGCGCAGGCATCCACCTCCCCCGCGGGCCCAAGAAGGGCCTGGCGCTGCCGTCGGCGCGCCTGGTGAGCGTGGCCATCGCCAAGGACCGCGACGTGCCGGACCGGGAGCTCACCCTGGCCCTGATGCAGTGGACGCAGTTCGTGGAGCACGACATGGCGCACACGCCCACCTCCAAGATGGGTGAGTCGGCCGCGCCCACGTATAAACTCTTAGAGTACTAGAGTGTCCCAAAATGTGAGTTTGAGCACGACTCGGGTCATAGTTCCATATCTCAGAGTTTAACGCAACGAATTATCAGTCTAAAAACAAGAAGCCACGCCCGGTTTAAAAATCCGATATCAGCAGGGATCCAAGTCGTGATCAAAGTTTAGTTTTGGGACACCCTAACACACGCGCGCACACACACACGCACGCACGCGCGCACGCACGCTGACCCACCCCTCTGCCCGCAGTGAACACCGGCACGGCGCTGACGTGCTGCCGGCCCGACGCCACCCCGCTGGCGCCCCGGCACGCGCACCCGCTGTGCCAGCCCGTCACCATCCCGCAGGACGACCCCTTCTACGGGCGCGTGCGCGCGCGCTGCATGTCCTACATCCGGTCGCTGCACGCCTTCCGGCCCGACTGCGGCTTCGGCCCCGCCGAGCAGATGAACCAGGCCACGCACTTCCTGGACGGGTCGCAGCTGTACGGCACGTCGGCTCGCCGCGACCGCTCGCTGCGGCTGTTCTCCGGCGGCCGGCTGCTGCTGGCGCGCCGCTCTGGTCATGGCCAGGGCGCCAGCCGGCCCTTGCTGCCGCCCGCCGACGAGCCCCGGGACCGCTGCCAGGTCAGCAGCGCATCGGCCGTCTGCTACAAGTCGGGTGAGTCCGCGACTCACTAGGGCTGTGCGATATCACGATATTCTCCGATATCCAGGCCTCGATATTCTCCCGATACCCCAATGGAACACCATCGCCTTTCTGGCGCTTATATCGCGCTTTTAGAAGAACAAAAGGAATCAAAAAGCGCTACATAAGCGCCAAAAAGGCGATGGTGTTCTATTGGGGTATCGAAATATCGAGGTTGCTCGATTCTACGATATATCGCGATATGTCGACAATTTTCAGACATATCGTCCGATATCGAATGGTTCAATACTGCGATATGACTCGATATTATCGAGACTCGATGCATCGAGTCGATGTTCGATGCTTAGTCGATCGTATCGCGATATCAAAATCTGGATATCGCACAGCCCTACTTGCGCCCGGCCGGCCCTGCGGGCTGCGCCGGTGGCTCGGACCAGGTATTTTTAGCCCCGCCGATGAGGACCTTGACCTTCCGACCTTCTACCCCACTGACAACAACACCGGGCCGCCTGCTGACGCCGCGGGTGGCGCTGCTCTGACCCGGACAGGCCGGTTTTAAGACACGTCGCGGTACAAGACCAAATCGGGGATGAGAACGGCGTAGAACGGGCCCACGGTGTACGCGAGAGGGGCGGGCGCAGGGTAGGGGAGTATTTATAGAACACCCTCGCAGCAGGCGGCCAAGTCCTTCGCGGAATGGGCTTGGTGGGCTGGGTCGGGGGTCTGCGGCCGCCATGCCGGGAGGAGGGAGGCCCTCCCCAGTGAGAAACGCAACATCAATCAATGGTCGATAATGATGGTCACCAATCGAGGCAAAATCGACTCGACATCGATTCGATCAGTATACTGCAAATCGAGGAATATTCGAATTCGACGCCGACCCTCCTGGCTGACCCTCTCGGTGCCGCAGGTGACGTCCGCGCCAACAGCCACCCGCACCTGGCCGCCATGCACACGCTGTGGGCGCGCGAGCACAACCGCCTGGCCGAGGAGCTGGCCGAGCTCAACCCGCAGTGGGACGACGAGACGATCTTCCAGGAGGCCAGGAGGATCGTCATCGCAGAGATGCAGCACATCACGTACGACCAGTGGCTGCCCGCCATCCTAGGTGAGGCAGGATGCTGACTGGCTGGTGCTGTTGAGCACACCGAAGACCGGAGATGATCAATCACAACTCATTCTTAGCAGATAACACATTTTGAAACACTTCACTCTAAAACCAACAAGAAATGAAAAGACACTGAAATGTGTCAGCTACCTAGTGCTTTCGTCAGCTCCTCACTGCACGGGCTAGGCAGTGCTCGGCAGGGCTAGGGGCGCAATGCCCAGCATGCAGGTTCATTTACCGTAGATCCTACCCAGGTAGCAGAGCTGCATAAAATGTGCATTTCGCGTCCAATTTAAACCGCGCCTAAAACGTGTGTAGGCGCCTAATATGCACTTAAATGCGAGTTTCAGATGGGACATATGCGGTTCGAATGCAGTTTGCTATATTTTGCTACCTGGGTAGTGTACATTTCTAGATATCGGGACAACGTAGAAACAGACACTGGTCTCAACACTGGTATCATCTGCTTTCATAATCCGCTTTTTTGACGGAACTGTTTTCAATTTTTTCTTTTTCAGGAATCAAGTAATTTACGATGCATTACGAAGACTTCCACCATAATTGCATGGTTTTAAAATGTGAATAATTTATTTCTCTCGAAAAGGTTCGCGGTTTGTGCAGAAGGTCGGCCTCAACACCCCGGACAGCAACTGGTACCGTGAGAACATGGACCCCAGTGTGAGCAACGCGTTCGCTACCGTGGGTTTGAGGTTCGGGCTGTCCATGATGCAGGGCAGGATACAGTAAGTAGGCATGTCCGTGAGGTAAAACCAGTTCTTATCTTATACCTGCTCAGCTAAACATTTGTGCGCACTTTCTCTTTGTAGGTTGTTTGACGAGGAGCGCAGGCCGAACGCGTCGCTTCTGCTCCGCGACCACTTCAACAAGCCCAACGTCCTGGAGGACGGCTCCAGCTTGGACGGGCTGGTGCGCGGGCTAGCCACGCAGTCCAGCCAGCAGGTCGACACCTTCCTCGTCGAAGACGTAAGCCCCCGCTCCACTCGCAACCGAGGGTGCGACCGGGGTGGACGTTGGTCGCAGTGTCGCAGTTGGCACTTTAGACCAGGCCATTTTCGAAGTCGACCCAACGCCCACCCTTGTGGCTCTGAGAGGTTTTGACAAAAAATCTGACATTTTTTTGGAATGCCCCCTGGACACCCTTTCTGACGGTTACATTAGGGCTAAACAATCTAAACGTGGCCATACCATTCCTTAATTGTATTTTTCAATGTCGTCGAAAATAAAAAACTGCCCCTAACTTCTTGCCTGCAGCTGACCAACATGATGTACTTGGACGCCTCGGAGCGCGGCGTGGACGCGCTCAGCCTGGCCATCCAGCGCGGCCGCGACCACGGCCTGCCCTCCTACAACCAGTACCGCAAGCTGTGCGGGCTGCCGCAGGCCAAGGCGTTCGTGGACTTCGCGGACGTGATGTCGCGGCAGACGGCCAGCCGGCTGGGCGGCGTGTACGCGCACCCGGACGACGTGGACGTGCTGGTGGGCGGCATGGCGGAGCGGCCGTGGGAGGGCGCGCTCGTGGGGCCCACCCTGCGCTGCGTCATCAGCGAGCAGCTGCTGCGCTCCAGGAGGGCCGACCGCTACTTCTTCGACAACCCCGACCAGCCC